AGGGCAAGAATAAAGCCTTCTTTTTGTCTTTCTCATTGCATACCTTGTTCACAAGCAAGTTTACTTGTTCTCTATACATCTCCTTCAAGTCCACGATATCGGCACGGAGTTCCTCCAGCTGCACCAGCAACCAGTTTCAAACATTGGGGATTAGCAAACAAAAGGCACTTTCTGAAGTGTGATCAAGATACGCCACAAGCTCTAAGTTAACCTATTTGATTTGGATCTTACCCCTATAGACTCGAGATGCCAAAACCATCTTTTGACCAGATTGGCATCTTTCTTTCTTCGACCAAAATATTTTAGATCACTCGGGAGTTGGGTGTGTTCAGTCTTCTCACCTATTTGTATTATCTAGGAACACTATAATTCTAGTAAACTACAGGTTGCTTAAATAAAATTGATAGGATAGTGTACTTATCCAATTACAGGGTACCTGTCCTAGTAAGGAAAACTCATAGTCGCTAAGTATGGATATTCAGTTTATTATGAAAAGATATCCCCCTCCAAACGCAAACTTCTACTGATGTTGATTTTCTAGAGAACTCCTTTTGGATTGGAGGCCCTTCCTATAGGTTTAGCACTCTTTTTGTGGTCGCCCTTCCTTAAGGAGCACTCTTCTTGTTGGTCTTTTTTCTTTTTAATACTCTCTTTTATATTTGTTAATGATTTTTTAATTCCTAAGTGCACATCTAGCACCAGGTTTTGGCCAACCAGCTCACCCATTGCGAACATAGCTGGTACGGGTTTCAAAGCCTGCTTAAATACAGTAATTTTGAGTACAGTAACCTTCCTTGGAACTCAGGAAACAGTTGTACAACCTATAGAATAGATCCTATTCTACAGTAATCTGCACCTAAAAATCAGTAACAAGAGAACTCCCCGGAACCTCCAACTTCATGAGTATGTCCCTTTGGGACCATTGCCCTTTTACAAACTGATGCACCCTCTACAGCCAAAAATTTCAGCCTTGTCTGGCTGATGCAATCTACAATAGACTTTCTCCTTCATCTTATATTGTGATATTGTGTTCATTCTAGTGATTGCACGCTCTAGTGGCTTCTATGAAATAAACATCAACTTTCAATAACTCTTTATTTTAAAAAAGAATCTCAATCCAACTGAATCTCTATCAACCACAGTACGATAATTAATATAATATTAGTGGGGGAGGAGGAAGGGTTGGGCTTCCACACGTCCAATTTATTAAGATTTCCTCACAGAAAGTGATGTGTTATTACCTCCTCATCACGTTCACCCATTAGCTCTAACGCAGCAGAGTGCCTTCTTCTCAGTGCTTCAAGTTCTGCTCGTATGCCTGGTAACATACCGGCCTCTGCCCTTAACTTCTCACTCTGCGCATCAAGCAACAGATCACATGGGAAGTCAATGTAAGTGGCCAAAAGCTCAATGGGATAAGAGAATAGCAGACGACCAGTCAATACCAACCTGTGAGGTCAATTTCACTAGCTCCTCAGCAAGAGAGTCACGGATAGATTCGATTGATTTCTGGTCAAATATAAATGAACATAAAGCTAAAAGATTGAACATATAATTTTCTTAAAATTTGAAAGTTCCCCTTCCTTAGCAACTTAAACTAAGGGTAGGGGCATGAAATGCACTAAACTCTCATCACGACAAAGCAGCTCAACGTAAATAGAATATAATACAAGGAATGCAGATGATGCAGTAAGCTGAAATGTATGAACTGAGGAGCTGCAAGGATTTAAATTACAAACCAGACGAGAGACATATGATGCAAGTTCCCCTTCCTTCTGACGAAGGGCAGCCTCAAAAGCACTAGGAGTCATACTCTTCATATAGTACGGACTCATGGCTATGTCCCCAGTAACTTTTCTATCAGAAAAACTTTCTGACGAGCCCAACGATGCTTGAAGAAAATAGCTTTCCTCCATGTTTCCTAGGCTACTAGAACTTGAAAGCTTACGTGTCAAATCACCTGCACAAGTACCAGAGCATAAGGCAACACATCTTGCCAAACGATGTCATCCAAACTAAGGCATCATACCATTCTCAAAAGTCCTATTATGCCTTGTTATGGAACTATGATCAGAAACATCAGTAGAATGGAGATGAGCTTTCCTCTCCAAATCCGATCTGGCAGCTTTCTCCTTCTCAATCTCCTGTCAAGGATTGTCAATAAACATTTTAGGGTGAGGGTCTATGTCAATAAACATTTTAATTCCAAGGATTGTCCAAGAAGTGTCTTAGTTTATTTAAGTGTCCAAGAGTGTGAATATTATGTATATTTTTTCTTTTGACCCAAGGTATTTTTAGGTGTCCGGGCATATGGTTTTACATACAAGTCAGGTAAAGCTATGTTCAAGTGTGTTGCATGTTGGAGTTATGCCAAGGTGTGTTCAAGTCCCAACATGGAAACTTTCACTTATATAGGAGTCTGTACTTCCTAGGCTAAAGGGGTTATAAGTTCGTATAAGAACCAAGACCTGCTGCAGCAGCTCCCTACGCCTCAGAGACTCTTGCAACTCTTCCTTGTGTTTCCTTCTAAGGTCCCGAATTTCTCCCTCAAGTTGGTTTGCACGACCCTCTTGAGTGTCAGCTTCCTCTTTTGCTGCAAGATACTCCTGCCTGATTTCAGCTGCTCGCTGTCTCTCCTTCTCAAGGGTTTTGCTTAATTGGGTCTGTTCTGCTCTCAGACATGAGACCTACAATATAATTCTGATGTAAGGTAATATTCAAAAGGCAAGGTGGAACAAGAAAATGATTAGCAATAAGAACCTGCGCCTCAAGAACATTAATTCTAGATAATGTTTGGGTCAAGCGTTCATTTATAGATCGCTCTCTTTCTTCGGCAGCAGCAGCTTTGGCTTCTGCTTCCTGTGCATTCATCATTAAGAATTCATTAAAAACGTGTATATATGCTGCGCAAATAGTACATAGCCCAAAATAACTCCAAAAGCAACCTGAAGTCTAGAGTTAAGAGATCTTTCAACAGCAGCCCATGCTTCTGCCCTTCTAGCTGTAGTTTCCTGTTATCATGACGAGAGGTTGAGAGATAAGTCCAATAGACCGTACTGACTTTGATGTGTAAAGATCAATATAAGATCTCCAAATGCATAGTAACACGTACTGACCTGCATTGCTTCAATCTGCCTTAAAAGAGGCCTTGTAGACTCTGGGACTTGTGTGATCAACTCCTCGCAACGTCGCTCACTTGCCTGTAAAACAATTACCAGGATATAAAAGAAAGAAGATCATAAGATTCAAAAGAAGGTGCACCATCATAGGGAATGCCACATTGCATCATAGGAAATGCCACATACTTGGTAACGCTTTTGAAGGTCCTCAATGTCCCTACGAAGCATATCTTCTCTATAGACGGCCTGCAAAGCAAAATCAATAATAAAATCATCTGGCTCCTCATTGCGAGAAACTGACCTTAATTAATTTAAGACAGTGCAAACGTTTAAAGCAACAAAAAAAGACCTGCTGCTCCTTTCTACTTAAAGTTTGTCTTAATTCTTCAAGTGTCTGAACAAGCATTGTTTCACGTTCCTCGGCCTCCCTAAGACGGCTTTCTAGCTCAGTTCTGGCTTCATTGTTTACACGTGCCTCTGCCAGGGCTTCAGCCTCCTTGGCAGCAGTTAAGGCAGTTGTATAGTACTCTTTCTGTGCTGCTAGTTCTGTTTGGTGCTTTTCTATTGTTTCTTGCAGCAACTTCTCTGTAGCAGTTTTGTCCCTCTTGATGCTATCTACTTTATTTTCTTCCACCTGGAATCGAGGATAAGATTCATGAAAATGACTGCTCCTTGCAAATTGTAGGTGTAACACTATAAAGTCCGCAAAGACAAAATTCCAAGTAGAATCCTTTATGCTTCCACCATGATATAATAAAAAATATTCTATAAAAAGTAAAAAACACGCTACAGAAATCTGATAGTGCAGGACCAAAGACATTTTTAACATCATTATTTATCCAAGGAAATCTTATCCAATATAGAGCTCTAACAAGAACTTTACAATTTGCTTACCTGAAGCTTGGTAATTAATCCCTTCTTCTCCTCTTCAAGCTCTCTGATCTAGCTTCCAGAAACCAATTAAATTAGTATTCATCTGAGTAATGTAATTAGATTCTAAAAAATCATAGTGAAAGTGAACCTCAGCATACCTGAGCCCTTAATTTCCTAATCTGAGATTCTTGAGCAGCCTGCTTCTTTGAAAGCTCCTCACCTGGTTGGTAGATGAATATCTTCAATGGTTAATCAAATAGGAAGACAAGCTTTCCAATAGGAGACTCTTACATGCATTGTCAAATTAGAGGACCGAGACTGGGAGAATATAAGATTTATTCGGACAGCAAACATTTTATCCCCGCCCCCAACAACCCAAAAAAGAAAAGTAAAGGAACTAGCCAATTTTTAATTATGCAAACATGAAGAAATAAAATACCGTTAGACATAACATAGAACAAGACTAAAAAGTTCCTCTCACCTTCTGCCATAACCTGATTAATTATTTCATCTTTTTCTTTCAAAAGAGCAGCTGCATCACTTTTCTTATTTTGCTCCCTTCTAAGTGTATCTCTCTCCCTGGTAAGGGCGTAAACCTGTAATATTACGATCCAAAAGCATCTAAGAAATCACTCAAGCAAAATATAATAGCACAATAATTCACCTTCATCCCTTTCATTTTCTGAAAGGGTTACCAGAAAGGAAGTTGCAATTTGGAACTAGAGAGAGATTTAAGTAAAACAACTACCAAAATCCCATTGATGCTTGATAGAACTCTAAACTTATGGTTAGTATGTTTAATAGGAGTTCAAACTTCATGAAACAGACCCATTGGACGGATAAATGTGCAAGGGTAACACAAAAATGCTATTCAAAAGCTCAATCTGTCGTAACTACTTTTATTAAAATGAAGAGTAAACTTCCGATGCAAGATGTAAGAAATAGGAAATAGAATATGAAAAAGAAAAGACAAACCTTCCTTTCGAGAGTTGAGACTCTCTGATGGTATTCCTCTCGTAATGACTCAATTTCAGCATCACTGGATTTTTTCTGTTCCATTAATGATGGACGTGAGTAATTAACAGATATTTCCTCTTCCTCTCTACAGTAGGGTAGGAGTGCAAATTAGTTTGCACTGTGTAAAAATTGTTAAAACATTTGTACAGGTGCCAATATGAATAATGAGATGACAACATTTACTTCACATATTGACAAAAAGAATATTCTCAAATGAAGAAAAAAAAAATGTCAGTGAAATAGGCCAACCAAGGTTTCATAATGGAATTCAATGATGTTGTTTAGGAGTCAAACTTGAAGCGCCAGGAACCAACATACAAGCAGGTATGAAAACAGGTCAATTGGTGCACGATTATGAAGGCAAATGCAGGAAATAATCCGAATAAGGTTGTGTTCAAGTACAAGGTCAGATGGGTCAAATCTTCACTTTATTCTTTTTTTGCTTTATTTGCCAAGAGTTGCCCCTCAAGTAAGTGGGTTTCCTATCGACCACCACATCCAACTACTCAAAACAGGATAACAAATTACGATCTTAATTGATTGACATAAAAATAAAAAAATACCTTTAATTCCTCAATCACATTATTCAAATGCTCGTTTTCATTCATCAATTTTGCAATCTCATCAGCTTTTGCCTGCAAGAAGTCAGATTCAATACTTCACAAGAGAAAGAAACATAAAAGGAAAGGAACATTTCAAATTTCAACCACTTCTTATGTAAGGTCCCATTACAATCTAATCTCAATTATCTACTGCTCAGTCAAATCTAGTCATTTTTCAATAGCAGGAATAACCGTGTAAAAGCCTTTAGGCACAAAATCTATCTTTACCTACAAAGTTGTAGGTAATGTTTTGCCACATGTAGTACCTGAGCTTGTCTTGCTGCACCTTGCAATGCTGTTTCCATCATTTTCATGTCAGCCTTCACCTTCTCTAGTTCATGCATAGAATCTAAATGATCAGGTATATTTGTCCCTGAGCTCAAACGTTGCTCTTTAGTTTCTTTCTCACTACCTTGGGTTCGCTGATCCATTTCAATTGCTTTAATTGTTAGATCGCTATCATGAGAATCTGAACTGGAAATGTGCATAGAAGCCTCGTCAGAAAGAGGTGCATTGGACAATTCACTTGCAGAAACTTCACGAGGGCCTTCTTTTACCTCCGTGCTACCAGACTGAATGCTAGAAGAATCACTACCACCTTCACCTTGATTATCATCAGATGACTCAGCTTCAGCTTCAATATGTGAAACCGTTTTTAATTCCTCCTTTTCTTCTGTTTTTATTCTATCAATATTCTCTACCTCAATAATTGGTTCATTTATCCTATCTGTTAGCAATTTTTGTTCATCACTTTTGTTATGCACGTCAAAAGAACTCTGAGATTCAGCTAACAGCTCATTACTTCCTTCATCTTGATACACATCAGTCGCTCCTGATTTTGTACCTAACTCTGGATGAATAGAAGTTTCTGTTTCTGAAAACTCTTTCTGCTGTAGGTAGTGAACAGAATCTGAAGTTTGTGCAGTGGGTTCAGGAGTTTCAACAGATGTTCTTGGTGATCCATGATTGGCTTCACCATAAGATTCTGATACTTCATCATTCTCAAAAGAAGATCCAATAATTCCAATGGGCATGACTGGTGATTCAGATTCAGCTTTTCCTTGGCTTTCCTCTTGTATATCTGGCCTTTCATCATCCTCTTCTGCAGGCACTTCAACGTCTTTTACAGTATTTGATTCCTTCAAAGAAGATGGAACTGCCTCAGTTTCAATGCCTTCTTTTTCATTTAAATCGGATTGAATCTGTGAAGAGTCCTGTTTCTCTGATGATTCCTCAACTTCGGTTGGCCTTGGTGAAGATTGTGATTCACTTGATGACTCTTCTTCAACACTTTCATCAGTTTTATTCTGCCCAATTAATGCCCTGACCGGATCGAAGAGTGCTTTCCCTTCGGTAGCTGATTGCCAGAATCCAGGAGCTACAGGTAAAGAGAACATGATAAACAATCGGCTAGAAACTAACATTTAATTTTTTGTAAAGACATCAACCAATTCCTGAATCTCAAGAGCCATTGATTAACAACGGCAACGGCATGCAAGAACAACTATGAACACAACTCACAAAATAATACACTTCATTTTGTGGCAGTTATATTTATCGACCAACTTTTCTTATTTATCCATTTTGTGCTTTAGACTAAGCATAATAGTGGCCTCAGAAGCAGATCAACTGGGAAAAAGCACACTGTAAACAACTTCACATGAAAAAGAACTTGGAACGAAACCATCTTTGATTTTTATTCCACACTAAGTTCTCTAGACGATAGACTCCGGCACATGAATAGAAATTTCATTCTGATTAACCATTTGATAATCATCTATATAAGCAAAATAGTGACTTTTATACATCCTTATTAATTTGAATTTACTAATTGAGGTTACACAAAATCGGGGCCAGAACGGATATATTTTGATTTAAGACGAAAAATTAGATCAAAGTTTACTATGTTAAATTTATTTTGTATCGTCCAAATTCCCTTTGTGCATGTGCTCCCAGGAAACGTATAGTACTCTATGCCATTACAAAAATCTGGTGTAATCAAAAAAGCTAGACCCAGTACGGTATTCTTTCGAATCCTGAATATGATGCTACCAATAATTGTGGTAATTCACATATGTCACATATGTCTTTCTCTCATCAATCAGTACTCGTTGAAGAAATAGAAATTACCAAAGTACCAAATGATAACTGGCAACATGATATATAAAGTGTACAATTACCATCACTGCTGGACTCCGACTTCTCTTCAAACCCAAGGGCAGTGTCAAAATTCTTTTCAATATTCTTCACGCTCTCTTGGAGCTTATTTACCGCTCCAGCAAGATCTGCAAAGTTACCCAAGGAAACCCTCCCACTAAACCACGCCATTTAAGAACAAACGATAGATCCACAATTCAATTAACTACTGCTACCACATAAAGCCACCTGATACTGGAAAAAAAAAACGAGATATAATTCAATTAACAGAGAAAGCTTATTGAGTATAAGAATAACAATAACCATTAAATCAACCAAATTTAGCGGGTTACAGTATTTGACAATTCGCAATATGAGACGGAGGGAGGGGGGATTTCGCCAGTGAGCTTCATTGTCGCCAGAGAAAACAATTAATTCATTCATTTTCTTCACACCCATCGATGACATAATGCAAAAAACGAAAAATTAATACAAGAAAAGTGAAGCTGCGAGATCCACAAGGAAATGGATCAGAATGGGCACTGGGTATTAAAGGAGGAACGGGTAGAATTAAGTTAGTATCCAAAGGCAAAGCTTTCAATAACCTCGTCATCCGCCGCGGAAGAGGATCCAATTGAGTCTTTATGGGAGCAGTGAATGCCACAGGATCAAAGAATCACATCATAGGTTTGCGTTTGCTCTATTGAGCCGCGGACAATTTCCGCAGACAATTGGCTTTGAGTTCGAGATTCAGATAGAAAAAGATCGCCGACGGTGAGGTCGAATCAGCTCTGGGTATGAAATTGAGCGAGAATACGAATAACAAGGGTGAAGAAAAACTGGGTTCTGAAGAAAAAATGGACGCAGTGATCGATCTGAAAAATGAAAGAAAATGGATTTGCCTTTGCCTTGGCCTTTGCAACAGAGACGACAGATCCGAGTCCGACCCGACACGATTCGGTTCCAATTAGATCCGATTCCAAGCCAAACGTCGTCGTATTGAGTATCCAACCAACCAACGGACGTGATCACACCGCTGGGAATTATTGAGTCACAACCGTAGAATTGCTGAAGCCGTTATTAACCGGTTGGGCCAACCTTTTTTTGGTAGATTACAAGAGAGTGAAATTATTGAACACATCCTTATAAATTTTTAACGTATATATTTTATAATACCTAATTTACCCTTTATCGTTACACGACGTCAAAAACAATCCAATTTCTATTTCTATTTATTTTGATTTCTATCTTTTCAAGTTTTGATTCCCATATAGAATTATATAATTGAAATTTTGATTCTCCCTTTTGCAAAGGACTTTTTATTACTTTGTCTCTAAGATTTTCCCTTTCTACCTAAGATTTTTTTTTTTTTATGTTTCGCATATTTAAAATAAAGTAGAGGTGTTTAAATTCAAAATAGATGTTTACAAATGAACATATTATGTACTCAGATGATAGAACAGTACTTTCCTGAATTTAAATTTCCTAAATTATATTTGCTTACACTTTCACCTTTAGTTTTATATTTTTAATAATTATAATATCTTTCTTTAACAGCACTTTTTTTTAACAAGTTAAACAACACTTTCCAACTGACACAGAAACCAAAAATAGATTCTTGAAAACTACTCAGGTAAGAAATTAAACTTTTTTCCTCTTTTAGCTGAAAATTGGTAAGCCACAGTTAAAACATTAGAAACTTTTTGAAGAATGCAATCCTTTACCACTTAAAACATTTTTGGTGCAGCTCGATCGAAAAAAAGTTAGGGTTTCCTGGTTCGTGATTTCTTATTTCCAAGGATTCAATGTCATTGTAGGCTAAAGAATGCTAAATTCGAATCTTCTTTTCCTCTACCCTTTTTTCAATCCTCGTCCTCAAACTTCCCATATCACGAGTAGCCCAAGCTAGAACCTTCGACATTTCGTTCCAATCGTTTACCAGAAATCACCGTAGAAGCAAACCCCATTTGCAAACCCCATTTTTTAATACGAACTTTGTTGCAACATGACAGTCCTCACAACACAGATATGGAGGAGAAACGAGCATGGAGAAATTCTCTTTGGGCACAATACAATGTGAAGAGGTATTCGACTTGTAGATTAATTCGTTAAATGGCGAACTCCATATATATAAGAAATTTTGAGAGAAATGGATCATGAAAAGAGAAAATGAGAACAAAACCGTTGGGAAATTACAACTGTTCGATATACTCGACTTGAGAAACTTTGAAGCATTCAAGCAAAAAGATGAAACTAAAATAAGAAAAAGTACAGATTGTTTAAGAAATTATGAAAAAGAAGGTTTGGGATTGTAATGCATTGATGAACCAAACACTAAGATTCGTTAAAATTCACACGTTGAATGTAGAATACAGTTTAGAAAGTAGACCTCTTTGAGTCCTTCCTCACCACTTCGTTAAAATGAACTACTAATATAATGGAGAGATTGGTCCAAATTGAGCCACTTACATTACAAAACAAACAAGGACAATTTACTGTCCGAGTACATCTGCTATTGACTTGTTGATTATCTGCAAAAGCTCTTCCCTACAGTGAAACAGACACAAGTCAGTTCAAGGTTCATTGCTATTATCGACAACGAACACAAGCTGGTTCGATAAAGTTTAGGCAAGATGTACACAAAGAGTCTTTAATCGTCATGAGTAATTCTCAAGTTGGTTAAAATTTTCAACAATGTATCTATTGAGATTCTCATGTCCATTCAGTAAAAATTTGATGAGAAACAGTTGGTTAATCATTAAATTATTGTTTTATTAGTATATCAGCACACATGGACATATCACTCTAATGATATTTGTCAAATGAAATTCAACCCAAAATCCACCCCGCACATCAACAAAATCCTCTTATTTAGTGGCATATGTCCTTATGTCTAAATATGTTCATAAAACAATAATTTAATGAGACATAATATTTTTCTTGACAAATCTTGATAAGAAAAAAAAGTTAGAAGGCCATAAGAGAATTTTCAGAATATTGGAGGTAAGTTGAGATTTTTAAAAGATTAAGGACTAAATTGAAAATAGGAACATTTGGTATATTTTGCCTAAAGTTTATGACGATGGGGCTTTAAAGACAACAAAGATGTTGGAAATATTGGATAAAAAAAAAAAGACATCACATCACATGCAAATAGAATGAAAACTCCAATGGATTTTTCCTCACCGATTAGGTTTGAACAAGAGGTAGCGATACACGAACCACTGGAATCAATAGAAAAAAAAGTTCGGTCAGGAATAGGAATGCAAGGACAGAAAACAAAACTTCAAAGTTCAGAATTGCCAAAGGCAGTATAGAACTTCTTGATATATAGAATAATAATTAGGGGTTGACCTATTTTAATGTTGACCACCATTAAAATTTGGACAAATGGAAAGAATATCTCTCTTATTATATTTCTCTTTCCTTCTTGTTAAAAGTTTAATGGTGGTCAACAAGAAATGAGTTCTCATCGTTCAGCACCTAAGTAGTATTGTTCATCTTGTTACTTACCCAAGAAACCAGTGCTCCTATGAATTCTAATAAACCTGGAAGCAGTGGCAGCTTGTCAATAGCCTACAAGCAAATGGGAACGAACAGGTTATGTGTTGAAGAACAAACAAAACATGAGAAATAACAGACTCGGTCAAAAAATCCAGATGCGGTGTGACTTTCTCATCTCTCAAAATTCTGATCCAAAAGGATCATTGTTTTTAGATTACCGTAACAAAGTTTGTTGCTGTCCATAAAGCTGCTACAGCTGCAAATCCCAGGCCAAAAAGTCCCAGCCTATCTTCAGGTTGATCCCACTATATCCCAAGTTAAACCAGAAAAATGTAAGTACCAATAAGCCATCCACAGAATGAGAAATTTACTAATTGTACAAAAGTGTCGTCCTTTACTTTCTGGCATTCTTTCCTCAAAAATCAAACATCGCTTATAAATTTCAAACGAAGCAAACCTTCAACATCCATGAAGAAAGGAAAATTTTAGAACTAAAAAATTTAAAAAGTTGTAATTAATATGCTCTCTCTATATATATAACTTATATAAAAAAGGACAGAAATAAAGAGCTTACAATATTTTGAACAGACTTAATAATACTAAGGGAAGAAGAATCGGAGCTGTCTCCAGTAGCCTTTACAACAACAGTCGCAGAACGTTTCTCTGCAATTTCGAAAAATTATTTATTAATAACAAGTAGTATGGTGAACAAGGTACGAGAACTTCAATCAGTTGCAAACAATCAAACAGGGGTGCCGGACCATCACATTATCTCCAATAGATGGCTAGGAAGCAGGGAGCTACGTTTTGCAGTTTAATGTTCAACTTTGAAATATTCATATAAAGAAAATTTAACCATTTTAGATGCAAATTTCCATACAATTCAAAGTTGCAGCCACCTAAAGGGTCCCAACTGCTAGAGGCAGTGAAGAAGACTCCAACTCCTATTGAAATAGACAGTAATCTGCTATAATATTAGTTATCACAAGGGCACACGAGACCTAAAAAAATTGTCAATCACTAGAACTGTGCGAGTAAGTTGTGTGGTATATTGAGAATGTGAATGTATGGAAAGAAACTAGCAGTCCCAAATTGTCTATGCTACTACATGTGAAGTTCATTGACCACCCCTTTTGTTGAATGAATAGAAAATTGCAATGCTGGTTCTTATAATCCTGAAAAATAAATTCAAGTTCTAGAAGGCAGTTGCAAGGCCTGTTTCTAAGAAAAAATGATGCAAGGAATGTGAACCTTCTGGAGTTTGATGAGGATTATCCACCAGGACTACAGAAATTCCAATTTCATACTGATGTTCAAAGCTTCAATATCAAAAATCAATTATGCAGACCGGTTTAAACAGTTAAAACTCTCTAAACTAGAAGATTTTAAGGTTCTAAACCTATGAAATGAAACCCTCTCCATCTTCCACAATCTCAAGGCCATGTTAGACATGGAAATGTAAAGACCAAAGAGTAACAAGCGCCATTTTCCACCAGAGGAACATAACCCTAGGGAACCCTTGTCGTTCTACTCCTACGGCTACTACAAACTACACATTAAGACTTAAACTCCTAATGGAAATTGTTTCTGCGTCGCATCGGAGTAACCTAATCCTTCCACCTACCAAGTATGCGCCATTCATTCAGTTCAAAATTCAAACAAACACAAACAAACATAGAGGAATGCAGCACAATAAACATGATCGAACGAACATCAATATTCAACGCGGAATTAAACTAAATGGATCTCAATATTAGAATAAACTTACTTGCGATGGGAAAAACAGTGAGCTTCTGAGAAGTATTCAGAAGGGTGAAGCTTTTGCCAGGGGCCAACAATGGCGGAGGTAGACTAGCAACAATGGAAGCCATGAATACTGCGTGCAGTGGAGATCAATAAACCTTGAAGTGCAAAATTACACTCCCAAATCAAAGATTAACTCGAAATTTTGTGATTATACAAAATCATGGCCTCGGATTGAGGAACCAGTCCCTTTCGTTGCTAGCCTTGGACAATGGGCGTGTTAAAGGATAGGCCTTACTGCTCTTCTCAACCTGCACCACAAAATTTTATCATTATTATTATTTCTTTTTTAAGAATATATGAAAATTTATATTTAGTCCTCATTTAACCGTAATTCCATTTCCAATTGGGTGTCCATAACCTATCAATTTTCAATTTCATCTCTACAATTTAGACCTTTATTTATTTATTTATTTAGTTCCTACATCTTATACTTGTAGATTCGGTCCGTATAACTTATTCAAATCTGATAAATTATTTATGTCATTACCATTTTGACATCATTTTAACATGGCAATAAGATGATGATGAGGTTTCTTTTTTAAATAAGTGGAGGGGGATTCGAACTCAATTAGTTTCGCGTGACAGCATGTAACGAATCGGGTGAAATATAGAAGTTTATGTGTTTGATGGTTCTCTACGTGGCATTCTCTAGAGGGTTTAGGCTTGAGTTGAGGCTGTTGGATCTTGATCTCTCGACTACTTAACTTGGGTATGGTAGTTCGAAAGGTTTGAATTTATTTATGAGTTGTCACGACTATGATTAGGAAAAAGTTTCCTACAAATACCTAAGTGTTGGTTGCCTGGATGAATAGGTAACTAGGTAAAAAGTTTCCTACAAATACAGGTGTGGTTGTCTAGATGAATAGCCAACTAGGAAGAGGTATCATCTTTAACCAACTATTTTTCTTTTCACATTTTCCAAGAGTCCAAATCATGTCCAGTTAAAATAAATGTCAATCATAGTTAAGTTAAATTCATGTTGGCACAAGATAAAATTTTCTATTCAACTAGTTATACTGATTGTTTGTGTTATGGTTCACGACTAAGTACAAAATAAGAAAAAATATGTGGATTTGTTAAGTGAGTAAAAAACAATTTAGATTCACAAGGTCTAACCAAACTATAATTACCAAGATTACCAAAATTGAAATTGAAATGAAGCGTACAACATAGGATCAACTTGAAGCGTTTAAAGATATTTATACAAAAATTGAGATTGAATCATATTTATAAAATATCCTTAAATTTCTCAAATATTACATTTATATAAAACCATTTCATTATATGACCTAAAAGAAACTATTTAATTATACACATGTATTTGAAATATATTGAAAGGATTAAGAGAGAGAGTTTTTTGAGAGAGAAAAATTAATTTGAGAAAGGTGAAATTTATAAAAGGAAACATAAAATATTTTGAAAGAAAAAGAGAGAAAGATATTGGAGAAGAGAGAAAGGGAGAACGAGAGAGAATTTATATTTAAAAGATGAAATTGTCCTCAAAATATAATGAAATTTTTTTAATTACAATGATAAAATAGTGAAAAAACAAAGATGAACTAAAGAAACTATTTAATTGTCCATATGTATCGGAAATATATTACTATTAATAAATAGGTGCAAACATTTACTTGAATACACCTAAATGGTTAAGAGTTTAATAACATTTTATATAAATCAAATGTTGAATAAATGTGTGAGTTAAAAGATTCGAACTCTTCACCTTCTAGTCGAATATATCTGCCTCGATCAATAAAGTCATATTTAGATGGGTGCAAAAACCTATATAAAATAATATTTCACTCAATTGAGTTTTATTCCAGTGACCGTTTCATTTGTATTTTGGAAGGCTTGATACGAGTATCATGGGCGGCCCATTTAAAAAAGCCCATTAAATTATATAAGAGAAATAAATTTTATAGCGACGTGGGACAAACAACAACCTTTGCACCTCTTCAATTTTGGCTGTCATGTTTTTCTTTTCTGATTCCTTGACATTTTATTTCTGATTTTACCTTTCATCTCTCAATTTTTAACAAATCGATCAATATTTTTTCACAGCAGTAATTAATAAATGTTGTAAAAATTATTTTTTTTCTTTTAATTGAATTACATAATTTATTACTATTTTTTTCCTCTTTTTTTAGTACAATTTATTATTGGAGTTAACAATTAAGCTTTTACTTTTATTTTGGTCATATATACTTACTTAATATTACTTATGTTGATGCATTTTTTCCCGAGCTCTCAGATTGGTCACGAGCTAACAAGGACGAGCTGTCGAGGTGCTCAAGTCGTTCTCAGAGGAAATTACATACCTGTTCCATGGACAAAGTGTCCCTTTTATAGGCAGGTGAAGGGAGACAATACCGTTAGACGGTTACGACATGTGGTTGCGGTTGTCGGACTCTTCAGGTCAGTGGTCGGACCTGAGGTCAGATTCCTCACGTTGGCGAATGTATTCTTTTTTATCTCAGCTCGGTATTGATTAGTTCGTTGGATTCTGATGGTCTGTTTTCTAAGATATGGTTCTCCGAACTGAGTTGATACTTACCCGTGTTGATTATGATTTTGATCACCAACAACTTATAACACGAAAATTTATGATATTATTATGTGTTGTATATGAATATTAAAAATGACAAATTATAACATATTTAAGTCAATGTTAAAGTTGTTTCAAAAAAAAAAAAAAGTCAAGGTTAAAGTTGGAATGTTTCATCAAATTAATTTAACCAGGTCACTTGAAATTTCATGATTTATATGATTTATTTTTTTAAGTTTTCACCATGGTTGATTTTTCCTTTGACATATTCATAGAATTGAAATAATTTACATCAATTCTTTCTAATCGATTGAAATAATTTACATCATTTTTTTTTAATTTTCTTTTTTTTGAAATTTTCGTCCATATCAACATTTCAATATAAATATTACAGTTTTTAAATATGATGATAATTGTATCGTAATTAAAGTTTCATTTACTAATTCAAATAATTCTTATAAATTCTCATTATTTTCCTCTAAATTTCATTTATATCGAAACGTCCATAAATTTGGAACCTCAACATTTTCGCCAACATCGACATTTCAAACTTTAATTTTGACTGGAACAAAACTAAATAGTGTACGTATATATTGACACTGGTTGAATATTATATAAAATTCTCCTAATATTTACATTTAATAGGAGTATAATTCTCCAATTAAGACATATACTCATTTTCTTAAATTTCATCTTTGACATATGTTACACTGAGAAAAAGAAATCACTAAACTTGGAAAAAAAAAACCTACTTTTTAATGGTATTGAGTTGGCAACTAAGCAATAGAGTAGTATTAATTAATTTTCATGCGTAGTACAGGGATAGAAGAAAATTTTCCAGCTCACTTTTGTTCCACGTGTAAAATGCTGATGTACGACAAGTCGTCCCTAAAAGCTACATGAAATATGAATTTAATATTGATAACAACGGGACGCACCAGTGGGAGGCCGGGGAAATTATCCACTGCTTCGCGACCACTCATTCCCGCCGCCTTGATCAATCACAACTCCTCACAGCCGCACGATTACGAATTCCTTGACTCAAACTCGTCACATTTTAATTAGAGAAATATACCAATGAATGCCTTTACAATTTAAATACGTGTATTATTTTGTCATTTCTGTTTTTGCCATTTATTATTTTTCTTTAAAAATATTTTAAATTGGACCTAAAAACTTTTCTCGTCTAATATTTTCGATATGAGATCTTTAAATCTATAGTGAACAAATCAACAAACGAAATAAAAGATTTTTTTTTTAATACAGCAGTGAATCGAATCTCTTATCTCTAGAGAAAGAACAAAAAGGAATATGAGTGTTCACATGTTAGGTTGGGTGGGATTAGGAGGAATTTTGGGACCAACCCGAATTTTCAGGTTGGCGTTGGCTATATATAGGAACTGTCGGATTTAAATTGGATGGTCAACCCAACCCAATATTTTCAATGTGTGTTTTTTTTTATTTTTTATTATCGTGGCGACGGAGAGATTAAGTTACAAAATGAAAGAAGATAATATGAAAATCTTAAAAAAGAGGGTTAGTTTTATTATTATTATTATTATTATTATTATTATAATATATAGGTTGACCCGATTTTTTTAAAAGTTGAACCTGAGACTCAACCGGATTGGAAAAACTATAACCCAATCTAATCCTTGCAGTTTGGGTTGGATTCATCAGATTCGTTGGAATGTCAGATTTTTTGAATACCTAGAAAGGAATTTGCAGCTCTTTCAAGAAGTTTTAGCTGTAACTAAAATGATAATTGTCGCTCAGGTTTTGTCCTTCTTGTAAAAAGCCAAACTAGCAAAATAAGATTGCAGCTTTGGGGATTTTCACAAAATAGTAGGGTGAGATAAATAAGAAAGAAAAATACATGGAAGTTTTTTCCCCAATATTTCAATATTAGGAAAAGTTTTTACATTACGTAGAAACTTTAGAAATAACAAAATCAAATTTCCTTTATTTTTATTTTCTAATTTTTTTCAAAACACATATCTCATTTTTTACTGACAAAATAGACAATAAATATCAAATATTGAATATAACAATAAAAAGGTTAAAAATTTTAATTTCCATGTAAAATTTATATTTTTAATTTGAAATTATAGAGAACGATAAATAATAAATGGTTATCAAACACGTTTCTGTTCAAAGATTATTAAATGCAACTATATAATTTGTTTAATTGAAAAAGAAATAACGATAAATACAAAATAAGAACATTATTTTGCTCGCGCAAATGGCCAATTATTTTGAAGGTAACGTAAGTTGTTTTGTTTGCATTTGTGAATTGGACCATGAGTACTAAGATGTTATTATTATTATTAATTTTTAGTAAAATAAATCAAGACGTTATTATTAGTATAATTATAGCAAAAAACAGGTAATAGAGCCATTATTTACTTTGTTTTATTTAAATTTTATTATCATCGTTATTTTCTTTATGGAATTTTCATTAATCTCGCTCATTTTTATATGATTTAATGTACAATAAGTATTTTTGATAATAATATTGTACTAAATCTAAAAGCATGCATCTAATAGCAATTATTGTAATATTACTAAGTCATATGATAGTGATAGTGACACAAATTTGGAAAAAATGCTCACTGATGTAACATTCTTTGTATCCCAAAAGAAAACTAGGATGGTTAATGAATCTGTATGAAAGACAAAATAATTACTGTGAAAGT